AATGTCGAAATGAATGCAGTTTCAAAAATGTTATGAAAGCACCTTTTAATCTACTACGACGAGAATTATTGAGACTCTTTTATAAAACTATGTTATATGCTCTGTATAAAAGCTCTGATACACTGTCCCTACTGTAAGGCACAGTACTGCTTGTTTCTCTACAACATTAATAGACAACAGGCATTATTTACGTATTGCGATCCGTCTGTCTACATAGCAGCTTCTAATAAATGTTGCTGTGGTTGAGCTCAGATCAACAGTCTTTGGAGTTTTCTGAAGGAAATGTGCTAATCCATTTCTTTGTGCGGGCCAGACATTCATCCCAGCTGTACAAGGGGCGGTAATCGAAATGACGCTCAGCTTTGTCGGTGCGCACTGTGAAGGTGGTGCTAACAACGGCCAAGGTGTAACTGTTCAGCAGCGGCGTGTAGTTGTATATGGGTTTTAGTAACCAGTGCATCAAATCATTAAACATGGCCAGAAACCATAACACCATTGTGGGTATCCGTGCCTTTCGAAAGTTAAACTCTGAGAACAACACCATGTTGAAATCTTCGTAGCTTTTGTAGGGTGAGTCATCGTAGCAGTAGAACGCTTCTCCTCCAACTTTCTCTGGGCGCTCTCTCAAAGCTTGGGCTGCAAGGAGATGCATCCAGGCAACATTGCCTAGGTAGACAAGTGGATAAGTAACGGATTTAATTATGGTGATGGTAAAGAGTGCAAATACTTAAAATACATCAATTGTAGATACTACTTTAGTCATTTAATCTGCATCCAAGTGACATCCTTTCTATCCAGTTGTGGCTGATACTGCATGCCTTACATGCATTTGTAAAATGTATTAATATCATAAATGCAATCATATTCTGTTAGGAGATCAGAGGATTTGTGGTGTGAATTGGATGCATGTATACATGTTCACCGATAATGACCATCTGGTATTGAATTTATTATAAACCTATTAAAAGTTGTTTAAGAGCATCAGGGTTTCTTATCATATTATCATCTGAAATTCTAATGTTATGAATTGCGTTAGGTGTAAAACTGTAAACTTCCTGCGAAGTGCAGAGGAAGTGCTTCTACATGCTACATCTGCTTTAAAAATGACGGCGCCTTTAACCAAGTTTTCAGTGCCACATAGGAAACATCACAGAAGTGGTAATTTTACCTGCATAAACTCGACCGTGTTCAACATGATCTGGGATGCCTCCAACAATCAAGCCTCCCCTTTGAACACCCTGCTTATAGAAGTCCTTTATTAGCTGGTGCCCCTCGCCATAGATCCCCGTTGGCCTCAGTGAGCATGTGTATAAGTGCTTACCACCCTTAACCTGGACAGGAAATAAAAACAACTTTTAGTTTCCAGGCCGGAGGCAGATAAAATAAAAGAAGATTTAGATATAATTGTAAACAGCAAAAATTACACCATTGTACCACCGCATAGCCACAAGGGAAATTCTCCCATTCTGTGGCAAAGTTGCACAAGAAACCACCCCCCCCCCACCACACTATGACTTTGTTTTTTTAAAGGCTCCAGTCCAGCTCAGCAAGAGACTAACAAAAACATCTGCATATCTCGAGCCTCTGCATGGAACTGCCCAGTCAAAGTTTATCCAGGTTAAGCCTTTTTAGAAACTCTAATCCTTTTACTGGTTTCACTGCATTATCATAGTTCAGTTCAAATGTACATTTACTAAACCTGCTTCATTGTGATGTAGTTCAAACAGTATACCACTTTTCTTTACACAAAGTAAACATACCATTAATTTGTGAAATATATCTTACCTTGGTGCCATTAGCATCAAGCACAATTTTCTCTGCCTCTGACTTGCTCTTGGGGTAGGCCATGCTGTGTTTCACTGTATAAGGTGTGTCTTCATTGCCCCTACAAAGAAAGAAGTTAAACATTCAGAGAAGTGCTCAGGAGAAGATAATCACCTAGTATTTTCTTGACCTTGCTGTGTGTGTTAGGAATGTACTTATGCGTACTAAACAGAAGTGTTGAAATGAACCTTGGCAAAGAAGAACAAACCTGATATCCATGTTTATTTGCAAGTTTTTCAAAGTTTGTTCTTATCTTTTTTCCAAATCTACTGTCTAAATAGAACAAATATTTGTAACAAGAGAAGGAAAAGGTTCATTCTTATAGGGTAACGTCAGAACTACAACAGCTTCCAAGGTGCCTGTGTACGTGCAAAGAGTGCACACCATCTGGAAGGCAGACAGCACGTCCAGCACGTTTGCTGGGCGTGATTTTCCTCATGTGACAAGGGCATTATGTGGAATTCTTTAAATCCATTTGTTACTGTAAATCCATTTTTGATATTGATAGTAATATGCTGCGACTTTAATTCTACTAGGAAATACCAGAAAGCTAATCTGTCTCAGTGGCTGGAGATGGGCTGACGTAGAAAGATCTCAGTAGATAAGAGGGCATCCACTTGGAATGATTATATCAATATTTTTCTTTTGAATCTTCATCTAACAATCTGAGAACATATTGTACTGTGAAAAAGCTTTGCACGTGTTCTACGTCACACATCAACAAGAAGGTGCCTGATTGGTCCCAGATCCTTCTGTAGCATCACAAACATCCCAAAGAATCATCAAAAGAGACAAAAAGAACAAGGAGTCCAGCCTCAGATGCTGGCCTCTGTAAAGCCCTAATCTCAAGATCATGGAGCCAGTCTGAGATTAGCAGGCAGCACTCAGAATTTTACTGGTACAGGTTGGAGGGTAAAGGGTGCACATGCTAAATATGTGGTCAGAGTTTCTGCAGCGCAAACTCTTTTGTTTTTAACCCTTGGTAGTGGTTGGCCAGAATAGATTAACCGTAAACCTTCAGGAACTGGGTGGAATTTCCAACCAGACACTTAAATATTGAAGAATGCCCACTTGTGCACCGTCACCTTAACCTTAGTGCATACAAGCATTGCACACCAGGGTTTTTCATTTCGGTCATGGGTGACAATGGGAAAAACCCTACCTTGAAATGCTTTCAGCCAAAGCACAAAAACTGTTCCCTCTAACCGACATATGCCAGTAAATGGTCTGTCTGGGTCTCCTATTCTATACTCAAACAATATGACGGTGAACTATACACCTGGATCTGACTCACGCCTTTAGGAGTGAACTTTCCATTTGTCATCAGTCTTGATTCAAGAGTCATTTCTATTTTGGTTTCTGCTCATTCTTACCCAAAATATTCCATAGCTACACAGGTATGGACATGCCACTCAAATGATGTCACTGAAAATGATGAATACACAGAAAAACCCGGAGACAGCCCATATTTAGAAATCACATTGTGTTGCCTTTTCCTCTCATGACAGGCAAAAAACCTGGCAAATGTACATTACATAACATTTTTTATTTGTTATTAAATAATTCAGAACTATTCCTCTGGTATCAACCAACCTTGAGTGACATAACTGTCAATAGCATGCCAATGCAAATGATGGTTGCAAAACAGTTTGAACTTTAAGCTCCAGATTTAAAAGCTGTTTAACTACAGCAACATTACATAACAAGTGCGTGACATAAAAGTCTGGAAAATATTAAAGCACTGAAGCAAAAGAAAGCTCAGACAGTAGCTCCCATTTAATGTCTTTTAATCAGAATAAACTACCTTGATCACTCGGTTGAATAACACACAGAAAATACTAAATACTGCATTTGTCATTGACGTTTGACTCCACCCCATCATATCTTGCTGCACAAGTCATGTGTTAAATGATGGTGCTTTTAAGATAAGAGTGGTTACAAGGCAGCAACTACAGAAAATGAACTAGATGAGCTAAAGCACTTCTTCAAATGGGTTTAGATGTCTACTATGTTGGCTCAGTCAGCATAAAAAAATAAGAATAATTAAAAAAACCAACAACAACATTTTAAACAACTAACAATGTTATAGTTTTTGAATTTCACCTCTTAAAGTGATCTCCATTGATGTTGGGACCGACCACTTCCATGCTGCTGGTATAGAGGAGGCACTCTATGCCGCACTCCACACAGGCTTTGATGACATTCTTTGTTCCTAAGAGGAAAAGAAAACATCGTTTTTAGCAAGTCTGCTCACTTTTGTGTTGATAGAGCAGACTGTAGCTCAAAGGACACTGTGACACAGAAATAGTTTATTCCATCAGTGCAGATTTGAAGAAAGCTGCTATTTTTTATTTTTTTAATGGATTGCTTCAAATTACTATATGAAACATCTCCGTGTGAATAATTTAAACGGGACCCATGCGTGTTCTGTTTGTATGAGAGGATGCCACGAATATTTCTGGCTTCCACTATTGAGGCTATTGTTTACGTATCTGAAAGTTAAAAACAAAAATCTACAGAGTAAACACTTGACAAGCTGCATAGTTAACATTTGTTAAAGTGCTGATGAGAAAAAGAAGTGCTGATGTGTTTAATTTGCCATCTGAGCAAAACAAAACAAAAAAGAAACCCACAGAGTTCACAAATACCATGCACAGCTGCACAGACAACCATACCACTCCCTGTAAAGTGACAGACTTATCAGCACCAATGTGGTAGTAGATTATCAGGAACGTATGCCATATTTCACTAGAACAGAGCGAGAGGTTTCACGCGCTACAGAAAAACTGAAAAAGCCAGACCAAAAACACCTCTACAAAATCTAACAGTAAATTTGCTGAATATGTGTTGTGATACTCTATTCTTGGCAAAAGTGATGAACTGAAATTACCAGCACTGTCAAACCTACAGCTTTGCTGCTAGCACAGTTAAAACTAATCTCACTTTAAAGGCAAAAATACATAGAACAGGACACAGATAAGACAGAGGAACAGACCATAATTTAAGATTCAATTTAGGTAAACCAGTTCCACAGTCTTCTATGCATAGTGGCTCACTGGCATGATTTCTAGGACACCTAATTAAATACAGGAAACACTAATTAAATTTGTTTGATCTGTGCTTTTCCTGATGCAGTAATGTTTACCCTCTGCAAGCTCTGCTGTCTAGCTTTTGTGCCAACATGTGGTCTGAAAGGAGGTTAAACATTGCAGCTACAGCCTAAAATACACAGGCTATAAGTGTTTACAATATACTGCTGTTAGACTAGCATTTTAAATCTATACCAGTTATGAGAAGAAGAGAGATTTTAACCAGACACTAGAGGAGGAGGAACTAACAAGAATGTGTTGAAGAAAACCCCTTGACGCCAACACAGGGGAAATATTAAAATTCTTGAAATATTTTTCAGGTCCGTGAGGCCAAATGGGACAATCTCCTTGGACCGAGTGAAACAGACAGATGCAACTACTGGATCTTATCAGATTTTTACAGAAGAAAAACTTTAACTGTAGTGGTTTGTTCATATACACTCTAGCAATCCAAATAATTAACATCCATATGGAAAAAAGCTGACCTCTGCACGAGATCTTTGGGAGCCTACAGACAAAACTGCCTTTAATCTGCAGTGATTGTTTTTGGGGTACAGATATTAAAAGCAAAGCCTCACCAGCAACATTTGCATCCCTTCTTTATTACTGTGATCAGTGTCTTCAATCTGGTTTTAGATTCAGATCAATGAAATGTTTTGTTTTCCTTCATCGCAGCACATCTGGCATGCTGCTGTCAATAAATTCTTTAGTCACTTGAAAGTCAGCGCCAGAGACATTTCAGGAACTCGGGGAAAATAGGCTGCAGCATTTCCTGGCTGACAATTGTAGTCAACAAGTCCACTGAAAACAAATACCTCTTAAGTATAAAGAAGGCTGAATAGCTTATTCCTCTTCGTCACAGAGCTCCACTGTTTTCCACACACCATTTGATTTAAGGTTCAGTTAGCTGAATATTTTTTGAGTTTGTCTAACATGATGCCAACCTACTGTTTTAAATGTCCAAATACCAAAAATATTATAGAGATTAATGATAGCAAAAGCTTCAGTGTTTGAGCCAAATTTATCTCTTGAGAGCCATTTTGCTACATAAAACAGTAGAAGGAATGTTTAGACAGATTTTAAAGAATACAACCTGCCCACCTTCAAAAACCCCTAGAAACAATAGTAAAATAAACCCAGTAAATTCCACAGACCCGAAGAAACGATACTTTTGGGAAGCATTTAAAATAGTTTTCCAGTCAAGAGTAAACTCATTGGTTAACTGTTATTTTGGACTGCTTTTGGCAATCCAATACATTTATGAGTCACTAACTTTTCCAGGTTTGAACAAGGTGTTTTTATTTAACTGAGACACTTGACACACAAATCTAGAGTCTGTCTCTGATGCTCTCATGTGCAAATAGAGCTCTACAGTGACATATGATCAGTTAAACCTTGACCTAAATGTATAATTCAACCGACTCTATTTAGTCATAGTTTCAGTCAGTGAATAGTGACACTACTCTCATCATGTTCCAAAAAAGTAGAGGGGAACAAAATGGGTTTCCCCAGCAGTTCGCTTCTCGTCTGCACAAAGGAAACCCATCTCCAATAACAACTTCAGCATCATGTAACACTTAAACTCACCGCTAAATTCCACACTAACAGCATCAGCCAATTAGAGTTGAAGTTTAAGAGAATCTGAGACCTCTGGTGTTTAAACAAAGTATCCTTTCATAAAGACGAAACAACACTTTGAACACACAAAATGACCCTTGACTGAAACAAGAGGAAACCACACCTCAGACCAGAAATGTGAATATGTGAACTATAACTATTTTTCCATTTTTTGGTTGAAGGGAAACGCCTTGGAAGTCATCCAAAGTAAATGTAGCCAAGGTTCTCCTCTAAATATCTTTCTGTGGTAAAATGTTTTTCAAGTTTAACTGTTGATTGATGTTTCCACCCCACCCCTTTTCCTTGTTATCACTTTGATCTTTCCAAGCCTCACCTGTTACGTTGACAGAGTAGATGAGGGGCTCTGGGACTTTGTACCAAACATCAACCAAGCTGGCTGTGTGGATGACAACATCGGTTCCACGGGAGGCCTCCAACACAGATTCATAATCCGTGATATCTCCTTGAATGACAACCACTCTTGTCCGCTCTGGGTAAAAACATGAAAACACAAAGTTAAAACAACAAATAAACCTGAAAATAATGTCCATATTCTCCCGAGAATTCCACAAGGATGTTACAAATACACTGAGGAACAAACAGTTTGTTTACCAAGCAACTTCAAAACAACCTCATTCTTTTCCAGCCCGCCCTGATTTCATATAGCAGTGTTATTTCCAGGTGTGATTTGCATCTTCCGAATCTCAAGGCAAGTCCAATTTTATCCAAAGTGATAATGTCTTATTTTTAAATTCCACAGAAGTTTAAAACAATATAAGAGATCAGTCTCCACTGTTGCGCTGACATGGCAAAAATATTATGAAGGCCTTGAACCTATAAATTATCTACCATTTGTCCTTGAAACGCTGATAGCTCTGCACCTGGACTTTCACACAGAGATTCTGCTGAAATTCAAACTCTGTTTTATGGGTTTTGATTCTTAGATGGATCACTAGTCTTTTTGTTGGGGCATTAGTCACAGCTTTGAGGGTCTTGTCTTGCTTAACTTCTGTATTTTACTGTAAGCAGACCAGCAATCAAGGAAATAAAACATATCTTGGCTTCCAAGTGATTTCAGTAATGTTTCCCAGGAAGCAGGGAACAAAACAAACACATCAATGTGAACCACCTTTGGTCACGACTTCTGGTTCTATGTAAACCAACAGGTAGCATTCAAATTATTCAGAAGGTGCTGAAAGTCACGGCAGGTGCAACAACAAGACACGACAGGTAAATTAGGGTGCGCTCAAAACACAGCTTTCTTTACGTTGCCAAGGTGATTAAAAGCATATCTGAGACACAAACATCAGGGTATGCCATTTTTTTCCTTATAAGTAATGCTGTACCTGCTCGAGGTATTTCATTCAAACAGACTCTAATTAAGATGACATAAAGCTGGCACGCTAAAGGTTTGAGTTAAGATTCTTATCAGGAATGCGGTGGCGAAGTGATGAAGACAGTTTTGTTTTCTCTGGAGAATTACCATGAAAAGGAAAATGCTGCCGAATAAAACAAACAGCTCGAGTGATTTACGACAATATATCTGCGCGTATGTCTGTTTGCCGGTGAAAGATTTAACGTTAAATCGGTATATTAGCTAACGAAGTTCCGCAATATAAACAGAAACAGCATTGCATGACATAAGTCACGAACAGTCAAGAAGCGCTTCTGCTCGTCTTACCTGTGCTGAGATCATGCAAGGTCGGATCTACGCGTTTGTCAAACACCCGTATCTCCTCTAGACTGTCCTCCTTTTCCAGGAGAATTCTCAGTAAATGCTGGCCGAGAAACCCACAGGCACCGGTGAGCAGATACACAAGACCCCGCTGGTGTTCCGACATCGTGTTACGCTAATGAACTCTGTGCTCTGCAGCGGCGAGCTGGAGCTTTTGCCTATACTCGCCCCGCCCTTCCCGCCCACAGAGATGATGACATTTTAGGGATGAAGCTGGACTCTCTTAATTTGGTGTTGGAGGGGCGAATGTTGTCCAAGATAAAGACAATGTTGGCTAATTCGTCCCACCCACTCCATGACATGCTGGCTAGCCACAGGAGCATGTTCAGTGAGAGACTGACATCAAAAAGCACCACTGCACGACACAGGAAATCATTCCTTTATTTATCAGTAAGTGAATTATTGTATGTATATATTGTGCTACTCTTGTACTTCTTGTATTGTCTGTTTTGTTACTGTTTATACTGGCACACTCTAACCAACATAATTTCCCCTAGGGATCAATAAAGTATTCTGATTCTGATTTACCCCTTTTTGTGTTTTTGTGGGTTGATCAGCCACTATTTTAAGTTTCCCCTTTGTCTCGCTAGGTAGGTCAGTTTGTTTGAGTTATAAGTATTGTTTGTCAACTTTGAGTAGAGTTCTGTTACTTTGACCCAAGATTTCGATTTTTTTGTGTAATGTAACCAACTTTGTTTTGAGGGGAGCTACGGGGGCCTCATCTTGCTTCCTTTACTTTCCTTCTGTCATGAATATATTGTCATAGTAAAATGGATCAGGAGACCTGTGAATGTAAAAGTAATGCCTTACACAAAATGGTCCATGTTTTTCTGCTGATGTTTTTAATATGTTTGCCTCTTGAACACACTCACCTACTTTTCACTGTGAGGAACAGTGGATCAGAAGAAAGTTGGCCTTATAGGGAGAGCACTAAAAAGATGGGAGTTGGAAATGCATATAGGGGCACATGTTAGCCAGCTGTAGCCTCGTCAACTCAGGTCACCATCTGTTCTCATCAGATTTCACTGCTTCCTCTTACAGTCTATGACAGTTGCAGATGCATTCATTTCCGGCACACAACTTCCTGCTCAACCAACATGCCTTTAAAGTGGCATAAGAGAGCGATCAACTAGAAGTCAGACTCTCACGCTTGTTTCCAATCTGAACATCCATATCCAGCAGGACACTGACTTGGTAAAGAAAAACACAAGATTTTCATTTATTTAAAAAAATATTTTTTCAACATGTTGCTTTAAATAAACATGGAGACAGTTCCATATTTATGTTGTTTATAAAATAAATATAAGAATTATGCTACATTTTGCTTCTATTTCACTATATTTTGGAAACAAATATTAGTTTATATTATACAATATTGCAAACCATAGGTTTATTTTAGTCATTGCCATTTTTTGCTGGTTGGCAACCATTAGTGAGGGTAATTTGGGTCAACAACAACAAGGCATTTATGCTGCATTATGACAGAAACGGGTCCTTCTTGTGTTCACCATGCTTCATTAAATGTTACAAAGGATCTCCACTGGACAGCGGACTACACTTTGGAAAATCTTCTGCTCTGTAATTGTTTTAGCATGTTGCATTGCTTGATTACATCTACCTTTAAGTGCACAACTGCTTCTCAAGTTTACTAAGAAAAGGCTTTTGAAGTGGTTAGCACTGTTACAGCCCTCTTCTTCAACTTGGGTGTTCGAACCCACTGTGTACTAATAAATTCAGTAGTCTGTAGGCATGCCTGTTTGGTTAACTGATGATTTTAAGGTGACCAATGATGTTTAATGTTTAAGAACATAAAAATGATCTGTTGTGATAGACCAAGGAACACCGCATACCCATCCTTGTGCCTGAGGGGAGCTAGGATTGATCCCAACCATGAACCATAAAATGTATTAACAGTTTTAAGACCACACTTTATGCACCATACTTAAACAGAGGACGTCATTAGAAAAAAGGGAAGAAAACTGGTCACATTTCTATAGTGTCATTTCAAAAGGAAGCAGATAAGAATGACTTGATGGTTAAAGGTTAAGAACTTTTCTTTTTTTTTACTGCTTCCAGATGAGTTACAGGGCTAGGAGTCTTCTGAACCTGGTGCCTTTATTGCCCTCAATAACTTTTAACCAGCAGCTAATGGCTTCAGAAGTGATGAGGGGAGCTACGGGGGCCTCATCTTGCTTCCTTTACTTTCCTTCTGTCATGAATATATTGTTATAGTAAAGTGGATCAGGAGACCTGTGAATGTAAAAGTAATCACTTACACAAAATGGTCCATGTTTTTCTGCTGATGTTTTTAATATGTTTGCCTCTTGAACACACTCACCAAGATTTTCATTTATTTAAAAAATATTTTAATGCACCATTAATAAAGGGTCCAACGCATTAATACAAGAGAAATATTGCAAATAATATTAAAATAATCATCAAATTAAAAGGAAAAACAATAAAAAATAAATGAATGGAAGGTATGTACATGTTTCCTCCTCATTGAGTAAGGAAACGGAACAACATATTTACAGCTTGGAATCAGTGTGTTTCTACAAGAAACAAACACCTCTACAATATTTACATGTACTTCTTTGTTTTTTTGTTTTTGCTTTTGTTTTTTCCTTTCATCTTTTTCTCCTTTATTAAAGAGGGTTGGTTTGTACTGAAAGGCTTTCATTGCAACAAGAAATATCTTACACATTTTCCTGTTTGGGAAAGAACAAAAAACAGGAGTTTAGTTAAAAGTTCAACATCAAAGTTAAACTTTGGACGGCCATAGCCATGAAAATAAAAAAAAAGACAACACAAAAGGTCACTGAAATCCCCGTCTGCAACGTATCAGAAACTGGCTAGGATTGTTAACCTCGCAGGGACACGGACACTTTCACCTATCTACAATGCAAACAGACTGTAAGCAGGATTTTTTTTTTTTTTTGAGTTACGATCTTTCAGAAGGGATGACTGAAGTAAAATATAATGCATTCTCATGAATTCTGCAAAGATCTGCAACACAAGGGGAAAACAAGAACTTTAAGTCTTTGAACAGAAACCAAATCAAATAAATGTGCCTTACAAACAGATCTGCCAAGTTTACCTCGAAGGAGTTCTTCTTCTTATTATAACTTTATTTGACTTGGGGCTCTGCTAGAAATGCAAACTTGTAGCAAATGGCTGCAAAGCCAGCAGCATTGTTCACAAACTCACTTGTGTAATTCAGAACTTAACAAAGCAACTAGGGAGAAGGATTTGCAGAAAACGCTTTTGTCAATTGTTTAAACAGGAATTTGTGCGCGTGTTGAAACGAAACAGGGTGATATATTGTAAGCAGCAACAAAACCTTTTCTTGACTTACGTCACTGACATACATGCTTTTAACCAACAAACGCAACGGCTGTGAAACCAGCGTCATTGCTAATAGGATTGCGTCCTTTGTGAATCTTTAGAATTCACCCACAAACAGGGACGTGACCTTGTCGACAACGAAACATACTTTTGCGACTTCTCTGTTGACACAGCAGATATAGCGTGCCAAATCATCGCTGACAAACAAGCGATTCGAGTTATGAACGTATACACTCCCCCTCCATTGTGTTGGTGATAGAAACAGTCATTGACAATTTCTGATCCCACCCCCACTGGACATGTGCTCAACTGCATTTCACAAGCACAGCCCTAATTATTGTAGATGAATAAAGAACCCACAAAGAGCGCACAAATAATTTGTTAAAAGCACCTATGTCAGTATCCATAAGTTTGGAGAAGAACAAAAAAAAAAAAAAAAAAAAAAAACATAAAAAGGGGAATATAAAAGTTTAGCAGTGGCATTTAAAAAAACCAAAAAAACCAAAAACCAAAAAAAAACAAAAAAACACGCACACTGTAAGCTGAAACCTAAATTACACATTTTCACAGTGGGTTAAAACGGCTTTACTCTCATACAGACTGTTGCAAAACAGGAGAGTAACACACAGTGGAGAGAGGAGAAAGGATTTATAGGGCTGGTGGATCACAAAGCCACTGAGGACAGTGGATGGGTACACTGAAGCTCATTTCACTGTAATATACTTACAGCTAATGCAAATAAGTAACAATACCATTAATAACAGCAATAGTAATATAATATAATACTATGAAATGAAATTTAAAAAAAAGCTCCAAAACAACCCTCAGGCTTGGAAATCTTGCATAACTGAAGACCAAATTGATTGAAGTGATTTATCTTAAAAGTTACGCCCTTAGTGAGCGAGTCTAAAAACCCTGAATTTTTCTGGTATTCGTGTGCGTCTCTGTGCGGATTTGTATGGGTGCGTGGTTACAGAAGGAATTCGACACTAGAGGAGTGACTCCTGGACGACGCCGACAAAAGAAAGCCCCTTTCAGACATGACCTCCTTATCATTAACGTGACGGCATCCAAATGCACTGCTTCACATCTGGATAAACACCCTGGCTTCTGTAATTGTCACAAAGAAAATCTTAGAGAGTAGGAGCCTGGCACAACTCTGCTTGCTGCCAAGTCTACAGATAGTTATGCACAATATTATTTTTGCACGTCTTGTGCATGTTTGTGAATTATTAAGTGCCCTAATCAGCAGTAACTTCTGGACGGCATTTTTCCTACCGACTGCTTTTATTAAAGATCAAAGCGTCCCCCACCGATTTGTTTCAGCTACACCCAATAAAGAAAAAAACAATATTTCAGAGGCTGGTTATGAGACGCACAATACAACTTCCACAGCAGCATGCAAACACGTGAACAAGTGCTGCTCTTAGAGATAATGGCAAAGGAAATGAACACCGAAATTGTAGTTTCACTTCACTAAAGTCGTTACTAACAATAGTTATTTACAAAAATATAATCCTTTTGAAAGTAAGTCATGAGGAACATAAAAATGACCCATGTCTGACTGATGCCGTCACTTTAAAAGAGTAATGAAGCCATGTCTGAGAGAGTGCCAATAAACATTTGTCCTTTTCTATTTTTTTCTCCACATTGTCTCCTTTCAAACGGATGCCGGCATGGAATCAGACAAATCCTTCATGCCCTGACTGACGCAACAACTTCCTTGGAGCACCCGGTTTTGTCCAGTAATACTGCCACTAACGAGCTGATGCTAAAGGCCTTGTCATGCATCGAGAGCCAGATGACGCCAAT